CTTCATCATTGCAATTTGACTCCTGCCAGGTCTACATCTGCTGTTGGCTAACAAAAATGTTGATGTCAATGCAGCTGTATCAGCTGACTTTCCAGCTATTTATCTTTAGATTTCTATCAATGTTTACCTATAACAGAAAAGTGAAAGCACTGGAAAGTTCTACTTCCAGCTGTGCTAGAGACAAGCATGAAGATGTACATGACTGTGGGTTTAAACCACAGCTGACAGATACATTCTTTGCGTGCAAGTGTATTGATAAAGATTAGGTTGTGTGCAGGAGGATGCGCATTTTTAATATGTGCGCTCAACACAACACGTTATAGTAGCTGGGCATAGCTGTCTGAAATAATTAGTTCACCACTGTGATTTAACTACAGAGTATCAATAATATCTGTTCCTTCTAAAGAATACCATTAGTTCATGGCAGCTTATTGTTTTGGAGGACTTTCATCTAACTCTCCAGGTTTGAAAGTTTTAGCAACTCTGACCCTTTCCTGTTATTCATCATGGTTTGCAGCATTTGTTTCTTGTAGCATCAGCCTTAAGTGTATTGCAGGTAATAAAATGTGTCTTCATGCTCATGATAAATGAGGGCAGGCARAACTAGAGTTGTGGGGTGTCGGTTTCTGGGCTCAATACCCATGTCACTATTTCCTATGACCATTGGAGGGGACTGAACTCATTGAGATGCTGCATCCTGTTCTTGTGTTCCTGCCAGAATGCCTTGAGCCTTTCGACAAAATATTCCAGGAGGTTTGATGACGTTTGCTTGAACTTGACAAAAGCTTTTGTTAAAAAATCCATTGTTCACAGTGCTACAGCTGYCATAAATGAGTGGTTTAGACCACTTCAAGAGTCACAATCAAAGGTATTACAAAAAGCAGRTTTTAATGAAAATTTGTGAAAGTATGACTTAAMAGAGTTTGATGGCAAGGTTCACTCTATTACTATAGAGATGAAGCATACAGGGAAAGTAGAATTATAATCAATTTTGCATGATTTAGAGGSCAGGATGAGGGTGCAAGGGGTAAGGGAGATTTCCCCATTGAGTCATGAGTTATGGAGGCTTCCTTGCTTTCTAAACTTCTGATAGAATCTAAGTGCAGCTCAATCTAGACTTCATGTCAGACTTTGTCAATGGGATATCTAAAGGATTTAATAGGGAAATCCTGCCGTTGGGTCATAAGATTCAGAATAGACTCCCTTTTTTTCTAAACTCCTGATGCAGCATAAGTGTAGCTGAGTCCAGTCATAGCCTCAAACCTGGGCAATGTTTTATGTCTGAAGGACTTAGCAGCACTCAGTAATTGACTAATTTAATGTTTACAAAGTGATTCAGTAGGATTAACTGTAATCAAAATAGTAACTCAATTATCTCTAGGGTGTTCAAATTAATTCACACATGCACACACACAGACACAAAGATGTGTATATACATATGTGTGTATATTCATATTTATGCACMAAGGTGCCTGTTTAAAGTTCCACTTTGTTTCACTGGAGTGTCAGTGAAATGCTCACATGGAATGTCTGGGCATTTCTCAGTGGGAGGGGCTTGAGTGTGAAGGACTGGGGGATGTCAKCCCAGGCCGACACATCAGCTTTTGGTGAGAGTCCTCCGAGTATGGCAACTCAACAGTTTGCAAGCTCTGAGAGGTGCCCCGCTCTGAGGGAGGTGCTGGTGCAGCCTGCTGTGATCTGGGGGAATTCAAAGGGTCTTACGGAGCACCACTGTTTAAACAGTCACCAGATGATTGGGATTTTTTTATTAATCCATTTTCATCTTGACTATAACTCAAGTTGATAATTACCGAAAACATTCAAAAGCCCAGTTCCACTAGGGTCCCTGACATGAACAGTGCCATTCCTCTTAGCCATGCAAGAGTTCCTGGTATGGTCAAGGAGAAATCACATAATGCCCAACTCATTACAAAAGCCAGGGCCTAACGAGAATTATTGAAACTGTAGAACAGGCTTGAAGAGGTAGAGCAGACCCAAGGAGGTCATCCTTTTGGGCTCCTTGTCTTATAGAATGCCTTGCATTTCTAACTCTGTATCATATAACTTTATTGGCACRGTGTAAAAGCAAGAATAAACATTTAGTAGGTGATACAAAACTTGGAAAACAAAGTCCACTCTCTGCAGAATCAATGGAAAGAACTTTAYTGAAAGTTTGTACTGGCTGCAGGATATGATGGCTGTCTTGAAGTGYGCTAACCTGCATGTTCAGAGGACTAGGCTGAGCATGTTAAAGGAAAATTTCATAGGGCCTGGTGTATTCATGGTCCAGATAGTCTCTGAGCCACCCATGTGARGACAGGATCATGCCATCCTCTGCAGAGAGCGCTTGCAGTGACCACTCACTGCCTGCAGTGAGACAAGTCTCAGTTGAGAGCTCTGCTAGAGGACACAGAGCAACCCAGTCCAAAGAGGATTAGGAAGTAATTTTCTGTGAAGACAGTAATTTTCCAYCTGCTATTGACCCTTGTTAGCAAAGAGCTGATCAAGTCGAATACTGGGCCAAATTGTTCCCGTGAGCCTAATGAAGGGGGCTGTGCCCTGGGGCCCTGGTGCATGTCCGAGAAGTATTACATTCATAGATTTATTGAATCACAGAATGGTTTGTCTTGGTAAGGACCTTTAAAGATTGCTTAGTCCAATACTCTGCCAGGGGCAGASACACCCTTCACTATATCAGATTGCTCAAAGCCCCATTTTGAGCACGTCCAGGGATGGGGCATCCACAGCTTCACTGGGCAACCTGTTCCAGTGTCCTACCAGCCTCACCATAAGAAATTTCTCCCATGTGTTTCTAAACCYATCCACTTTCAGTTTAAAACCATTATCCCTTGTCCTGTGACTGTAGGCACTGGTGATAACTGTCTTTTTTACAAATCCCCTTTTTATACTAAAAGACCACAATAAGATCTCCCTGCAGCTTTCTCTTCTCCAGGCTGAACAATTTTATTTATTCCAGCAGAGCCATTTGGCCTTGTGTTGCTTGATATCCACCCTTCCTGCCACAGTGTATATAGTTGTGGCAGTTGCTAAGCATGTGAGGGGTGAGGAAATGCTAAAATAGCAAAGCTTTTCAACAATAGAAATTAAATAAAAAAATAGTAGCRCTTATAGCATAATATGGGATTGCTTGCTATTTTTATCCTGATCATGCTTTTGTACTGCTGCTTCTTGTACATCACCCAGTTTCACAGTTAAATGAAATAGGATGAGGAAAAATAGACACATGTAAAGGGATGAGGAGTTACAGACAGCAGAGCTAAAAACCCCTTCAGATCTGCCATGCAGTAATTTGTATTGTTATGGCACACTGGGTTTCAAAACAATTCATACTCATTAGCAGAGAAATTTCAATGTTCGTTTCAGCCTGATTATGAGCAAAATGGGTAATTTCAGCATACAGTAGGTATATTACTTGCCTTTGTTAGATTATYGTGTTTTACACTTGGCTCTTACGAATCCTTTTCAGGTTTTATCAAAATAAGAATCACAGCCGTAAGTTTCATTTCTCCCCTCATAAACTGGATGTTAGGAAAAGATAATGAAGAAATTCTGGAGAGTAAAACCTGATCTGATACATCCATGTTATGCTATCTGACCCTTYATTGTTCAGAATTTTTGGCTAAATACAGGAATGAATGCCACTTAAGTTACTAATTCCTCCAACACCAGTGAAGGCATGACTGTCAGTAACTCCAAAGCAGCAATATTGTCAGGACTTCCTTGCTTCCACTAGGTTACAAATCTATTCATGTTACTGCTGAAAGTGATGTATTTAAAAAAAATATACTTTATAGAATATGAAACAGCCACTGCCACTTCTCCCCACCCCTCATCAGAATCCCATTCTGCCGATTCCAGTGCTGTCCCAGGAGACAGTCTCAGGTGACAGTTCCAGCATTAACAACTGTCTTGGTTCTTACACAGCAGAAGGCCTTGTAATGGCCTAGAAAAGTGTTAGAATATTAGCTTCCCATTTTCAGGAGGTATTTTACCAAGTCAATATTAGGCCTATTTTGAAATTGATTTCTTTCAAAATCACAGCAAAATAAATCACTTTCCACAAATGCCAAGAAATCACATGAGTCTGTGCCTGATGTAAAATTAAAATCTGAAATTTTAGCTAAAATTAATGAAGCAATCACCTTTTCCTTTTTTCTCTTGCTCTCAAGGAAAAGTTAAAAAATAAAAAARTAGCAAACCAGCATGACCTTTAAAACTAGAGCAGCTTAGTGCTTGTAATTCAAAATGAAAGGGTCAGGATAACTAAGCAGATATTAGCTATGTAACAGACAGCACTCTGGCTAGAATGGAAATAGAGTAGAAATTCTTAAAAGAAATTTAAGTGTCCTTTCTCAGGAGAACAGCTAGGACTGTATTTTACCACACAGCATGTCCTTGTAATTCTAGGTTTAGTGATCAATAGTGGAAATTCTTCTCAGTTAGGGATCTCTGTCCAGATACRATGTGCAGCAGTATACAGAGTTTGTCCCTATTGGAAAAAAGGAACAAGGGAAAGCTTTCTGAGGGTGCATCAGAGGGTGGCACATGAGGGAGAACAAGCAGGTGTCCTGCACCCAGACCTGTTCTCATTTCCTCCCTTGCCCTATAAGTGATCCTTTCAACACAGTATGGGCACCAGCCCTCTCTGCTTCATGAGGTCATGTGGGTGACTCAGAGCATGGAGGGAGGAGAAGGAGAATGTGTGAAGCTCCTTTTTACCCTGCTTACTGAAGTCTGACATCAACATGTTGTCCTYTGGATGTTTAAAGTGGCTCTTGGTAACTCAGACCTGGTTCTGAGTCACTGGGARGTGGCCCCTGGCACTCTGCATCAACTTTTCCCAGAGTAACTCGAGAGTTCCYGAGGACTTCTAAAGGCATTGTACTCCTGTTACAAATCAAACCAGATTTATCAAAAGAATCTCAGTCTGTGCAGTTTTTTTTATTTAAAAGTCTTGTAAATGTCCTTTTATTTTTCAGAAATGAGAAGAAATATATAAGCAGATACTGGAAAGAAGTGAAGGTCGGAGACTTTGTGCAGCTTCGCTGTAATGAAATTATACCTGCTGACATATTGCTGCTCTCCTCAAGTGATCCCGATGGGCTGTGCCATATAGAAACAGCTAACCTGGATGGTGAAACTAATTTAAAACAAAGACAGGTGGTGAGGAAGTTCTTAGAACTGGTAAGTCTCCATTCCTACCTYTCATTTAAGATAAGAATTTCTTTCAAGTAAGTAGCTGGTTACYGATACTCTCCACACCAGCTAAATCTGCTTGATTCAGTAGTGTTGATGAACTGCTGTTATGGTTGTCATTAAAATGTTAGCACTTGCCAATAACTGACCTCATCACAGTATCAGAAGTTTTACCATCATTTTTCCCTGAATCTGAATAGGAATTATGTGGGGCAATTGTGTGTGGTTGGAAAATGTTGGAGGATTTTAATGGCTTCTATTGTAGCTTGATTCTTAAAAACACATTTTAACTGCCCAAGGAGAAGCCACTTAAATATAAACATGTACTTTCCCTGCCTGCAAACCAGATCAGTTTCAATTAGGAATCTGCCTGAAACTCTGGGTTGCAGAATATCCCTCCAGCACTTGGAGCATTAAAGCTTGTAAGATTTTAAAGGGACAGCATGCATTCATTCTGGAGGTATCTGTGCTCAAAAACTGTTTTACTGCTCTCTCACTATGCTTATCTCTCCCCAACAGSACTATTTTAAAACAAAACATAATCCAGATCAGTTACTGTCAGCAGAATTAGAGGAAATTACCTGAGGTTTTACTTGCTTTAATGATCTTWTTGAAATAGTATTTATTTGTATGCCCTCCTCTCCCATCCCTCTTGCCAGCTAACTAGTTTCCTGTGTTTGTGAGGAAAAAAAACATTTTTTAGAACTAAGCAACATAATTTCTCCTAGTAGCACTTCTAATTTGACAGATTTTGCAAACAATGGGAGCTGCTGCCCTTGTCATCAAAGGTAACTACAGAAGCCTGTGGTTGTACTGAGGTAGATCAGYATTAATGAAGTTATTGTTCAACCAACAGGACAAAAGTCAGTGTGCCTTCCAAATAATTTTTATGACAGGTAGTGACTTTCTCTAAATAGTTTGTAAAAACATGAGATAAAGACTTGTTTAATGGTCATTGATTTCCACACAGAATTTGGACATGACATGGCAGCTACCACCATTGCAAGAAGCTTAATCAGCTACTGGCCAAATGTTTCAAAAACTCTYATTGTTTCAAAGTTAATTGAATTGCTGCTCAAACCTCCCATCCTGTTCCCACTGAGAGGAAATCGCTCCCAGGATAGAGCTTCAGGGAGGTGCTCAGGTGATGTATCATAGTTTTCTGCCWATGTAGGCTTCTTATGTGACTTCAGGTACATTAGGTAGGACAAAGCCTGCAGATTTCATTTAGGTAATGAAATACAGGCATGATTTTGCATTTGTGGGTACAGTTATAAGCTAAGGGCACATTCCAGCTCGGTCTCAAAGGGAAGGCACCTCCACTCATCTGCAGCAAATGGTTGGATCCTGTGATCCGAGACCACTGGACAGACATCAGTAGGTGTTGGTAAACATGGTGAAAGGAATTGATGTGTCCATCTACAAATTATCAGAAGATTGGCTTTCAAGACCCTTGCTGCCCAAAGGAGTTCCTTGTACTGCCTCAGGATCCCCAGCTCCCTGACAGCAGAGTGTGATTCAGCATTCCTGGAAGCTGTCAGGCTCAGAGGACACCTGCCAACCCTACAGACTGCCCTGCTCCTGTGAGCTGTGGCACTTAGACGTGTGCCTGAGCCATCAGTTGGCAGCCAGCGATCACATGCATCCATTAACACAGCAGGAAAACCAGGAGGGAGTACCACAGCAACCTTATGTTTGGGATACCCAATGAGGTTTAAATTGCTGTCCCAACCAGGCAGCTAAAGACTTCAATTCTGTGTTTTGTACAGCTTGGCAAGTTCTGTAACCTTTAGACTGTAGTGTAGAAGTGAGTGGCAGTGCCATTGTCTCCTAAAACAGGTTAAAGGTTACCAAAGACTTAATTGGGCTTCACTGGGGAAGAAGGCTGAGGAAACAGTTCCTGCCTAGGGAAGCACAGCTTGCTTTATGTGGCAAGCACACCACAGTATACATGGCATGGCTTGCTCAGCATACCCTGCTTTACTGAGGGAGTTACTTCTCATGTAGATACTTGCAGTCAGCTTCAYAGACAACTAGCACACTTTGGATTTCCAGCCCATCCTCCTTCCATATCTTAGTTCTCTGTATTACAAGATGATTGTGGAACTTTTCTATCTCAGAAGTGTGCTCAGAAAAATGTGGATAAATATTTTTTAAAAATAAATTTCAGATCACAAGGTGCCAAGCTACAATAGCAGTGAGGTCCATAGTAAATTGTCAGGGGTTAAACAGAGGTCAATGACAGAAAGCTCATTCATTCCARTGAAAACAGGACTGGTCCTCAAGGAGTCAAGTATTGAAAGAGAACTTGTAAGAAAACCACATTTGATTACCTCCCCTCTCTTAAAATAGCTGAGAARGCAGGAAATATCCAAGCCTGGGTTCCTATGTCAACTAAGTTGTAGGCAAAGTGCACACTCACAAGTACAAAGTCTTCAGCAGCTCCAGCATCACAGAGCCTCTCTGTAACTGSACCCCATAAGTTATCCAGCAGAATGCTTGCAATCCTCATTAAATTCCTGGCCAAAACCTGTCTAAGCATACTGTTAATTCATGCAGCAGCATTAGCTTCCACACTCCTTACTAGTAAGAATAGGCTCCTAATGATTCTTGAAGATACTGCCTTGCTGAGAGACACTCAGCYGTGGGATAGAGGGAGGTGCTTGGGAAATGTTGGATGAATAGTAGGATCACAGCCAAGTCACATGGAATAGCAAGGTGATGCCTGTCTGTCGGACTCAAGTTCAGTTCCTCTCTGGATATGTSTTTAAGTTACCACAACTGGAGAGAACTTACAATATAATAACTTAGATATCATAAAATACTTTGGATGAACAAAATTTTCTCTCACCTAGTGCTAACCCTCCTTYTGCCAAACCTCAGAGAAGCTTATTCCCAAATCTCCCGCAGGACCTGCATCCCAGCCAGTTCCTGAAATACTTTTATGTTTGTTCATTAACACTGAGCTCAGCAGAAGTCATGTTTATAGCTGTTTGGTTCTGTCATTCTGCAGCCCTGTTGTTCAAGCAGGAAAACAAACAAATAGATTATGTAGTCCTGACCCTCTCTTTCCCACACAGCTAAAGGCTTTCCCCACCTCCTTTGCAGAGTGACGTGCCTTGTCATGTGGCTTATCATGGGACCAGAAACACAGATTTTTTTTTTTTTTGGAAGCTTCTTTTCAAAGTATCAGTTGTCAATAGCTGTCTTTAAATAATGTCTCTGTATCAGTATCTCAAGTATTTAAAAGAAACTTCTACGAAGCATGGTATGTCTGTGCTTCATGTATGAGCTACCTGATGACTTTGGAGCACATGCCTGTGAAGCAGGATAGCTGTTTCTATAGCTGCCACTCAGCTGGGCATGGGAATGGAGTGGGGTGGCAGTAGGAACTGTTGTTTTAAGCTACTGCCATGCTTTCTTGATTCTGTTCCTGGCCTGTGCACCCCCGCGCAATTTACAGCCCCACAGGTCTGTGCTGGGCTCTCAGAGAGAGCCTGGTTGCCRCTTTTAGTCAGTGAAGTTGTGTGTGCTGGGCAGTCCTCTTGCAACCACTGCATTTTCTCCAAATGCTCTCTCCAAAGGCCAGCAAGGCCAGCACTGCTGGGTACAACTCTCCTCTGGAATGGCTGCTGTTCCACCAGCATCCTCTGAAAGATCTTTGTGTGTTTCTTTTCAGCAGCAACAGCATATAAGGTCATTAGACTCAGAGACTAAAAGGCCTCATGGTTTCCCCCTTCCAAACCTTTGTTCAGAAAAGTAACATTCTGACACCTTTTTAACCTGACTCTTGAAGAAGTAATAAGAAATTACAGAAGCTTTTCTATATCCTTGTCTCCAGTGCTTTGCCGGCATTATTTTATTCTGAACATATGCTCAAAATATCCAGGATCAGCATTTGTGGGTTTGGATTGTACCTCTCCACTTGTGAATTCTGGGAAACTGTTTTCCTTTATAGTGCAAGTGACCATAAATAYTGCTTATTTTAGTGCTGTTTTGAATTGTCTGAGTAATTTATAGTAGACTGGGAACATACTGCTTGTTAGCTTGGTGTGTTTGTTAACGAATGCAATCTGTYTGGCATAAACCTGTACTTTGTGTACGTGATTCTACACCTTATCGATTCACAAGCTGTGAGAAGAGTCACTGATACATTCCTCTGGCTTCCATGCCTGAAAACACCAGTCTGAATTATACCTTGTTGTTGTAGTCTCAAAATAGTTAGTCAAGAGAAAAGAAAATCACTCAGTGAGTAGRTTAAAAAAAGAAAAAAGAAAACAGGAGATATTACAAAGGCCTTGACATTTTTTCCTTCGAGACTTTAAATACTGTGTTCTTGTTATTCTGCTACTACAGCAACAGGATGTGTTAGAAATGTTTAAAATAGTCAGAAACATACTTCTGCATGCTAGGTCTTTATATGAACAGGAGAGTGGACTGTCTTTACCCTGAAACACAGATCAGGTCCGTGTGTGCAGCATGACACGCTGGCAAGTGCAGGCAGGAGAAAACACTGTGCTAAATCCCACTCTCAGTGATCTAACAGTGACAGTAAACATCTCTTGGGAAAAAAAAAAAAAAACAAAAACCAAAACAAACCAACTCTTTGTAGGTATTCTACCCGTTTCCTTCTAATTTCAAACCCACCCTCACTGCTGCCGAGTCACAGCAGCCATTTCTGCTGTACTGGATCTTACAGGAGACGCAGTAGGCAGGAGGAATCAATGTGTTTTCTGTGCTACTCTGCAAGCTGCCGTGCCACCACACCCTCTGCAACTGCTTATGGAATGTTTTCCATCCATCTGAGACGTCATGTCAGCCGCTCTTCAGAGAGTGGATAAGCAGATACAGCACGGGCTGCGAGAGCTCAAAACTCCCTTTCAGATTTCATAAACTTGATTTAGGATATTTTGATAGTATGAATCTAGACTCATGAAAAACATTTACATTTCCTTGCTCCACTGTTTTTACTCAGTATGCCTTTTAA